GGGGCTCGTACATGAAGGCATGCAGGATCTCTAATAACATGCTAAGAAATACATAGCATTAAAATATATAGAAACGACTAAACAGCAGTAAGCTGTATAATATCCAAAGAGCTATACAACGTTAGGAGGAATGTTTAGAGAAAAAACTAAGCAGTAATAAGTTCTATAATATGCTATAACACAGGGCTATGCCCAGATTATTAAAGTGATAAATTTGTTTATTTCTTTGATGTTGAATTTCGTAAATTCATTTGTCTAAATTTGTAGACACTGCATTCACTTCCAAGAATTGTTTTCCTTCCTATCGTAGATTGTTGCTTTTCTTTTATTAAATCCTTAAGTTGATATAAAACTTCATAAAAAACAGTTAATGTAGGGTGAATAATGAAAATAATTTTTTTAACCTGAAAAAGAGACAGTTGGGTAAAAGCACATATCCGCTGTTATTTCTATTAGTTTACATCAACTGATGATGTAAAATAAATTAAAATCAGATAAATCGAATCGATATCTACGACAGTAATCTTAACAAAATTTCTTACTTTCGTTTGATACAAGCAAACTTTCGAAATATATTCCTCTTTGTTCCTCATAAGAGTGATCATTAACCCGAAACATTAACACTGGATTCAAAATTTAAATAATTATGCATTTCATAAGTCTTTGAATTTTAACCCATAAGGTGGAATTGATGAATAAATATATATACTTTTGAAATGGACATTATTTCTGTATTTGTGAACCACTGTATTTAAAAAGCAAAGCAGATTGTCTTAATGGAATAGTTCGAGTTGCCGTTCCCATTTATTCAAGCGTACAACAGCATGAGGTCATGCATTTTTGCAATATGTTTAAGGCGTTTTATGATGCAATTAACAACACATCTATTTGGAAAGTCGAAGGACCCGCATTCGACCTAGACAATGATTTAGACAAGGGCATACTTTATTCCGAATAGGAAAAGGATGCGATTTTTTAGTTTCTACAACTCTTCATTCTCAGATACATTTCTTTACCGCCGAAATATGTGCTGGTAGGCTTTGAAGATTTGGTAATTTATAAGAGAACTTGCTTTATATTTTGGGTGATGCATTTTTCATTACAAAATACCCTGCAGTATTTTATATGCGATTATTGTTTTGTACTGAAATATGCTATACATGTTTGAGAGAAATTAAAAAGGTAACATTTATTAAAATTAAAGGTAACATTTATTTCTTTAATTAAACAAAATTTAGGTTAATGAATTTTTTGTTTTAACTGCAATTTATGTGTTTAATAATGTATATTTTCATGATAAATAACACATTTGATATATGCGAGTCTCTATGTTTTGGTATTTGCAAGTATTTTTAAAAAATTCAATATGGCTATAATGAGATTATAGGCTCCCGACTTTAAAATTTGATTGATTAATTGGTTACATTCAGTCGGAATATTTACTACCTACATGTTTATGGTTGCTAACAATATAGAGAAAAATTGTAAATGCATCTAAAATTTTGCCTTTTTGTCCGTACAGTTTACCACAGTGCGAAAGAGTTATTCGTAAGAAATGTATTTAAATAGATTCGAAATTCCATATTCAATTTGACAAAAGACATGCTTTCATCTGTAAAATGGACCATGATTGCTAATGCTTGCAATTCTTGTTTCGTTACTTGTCCTTCTCGTAAACCATTACATCAATATTTTTTTGTGATAACAACGTAGCGACATATTTGCTGTTTAAGTTACGAGATTATTTTCATTTTCTAGATTTTCTCAGACTGCAGTCTAATGAGGCGTTACTTCAATTATTAACTCCAGGAATATATTAAGCTGTTCCAAGCGCATGATATCTCAAGAAATGAGGCAAATAAATTGGGTTTTATTTACTTCAAAACCACATTTTTATAATTTTCTTTTCCTTCACTAGAAAGCTCCTACTGACACCCGTGCCAAGACTGGACCTCAGTCTTAGAGGCAACAGAAGAGATGCAAAATTTTTTATTTTTCAAAGGCCTTTTTTATTTCCATTTATTTTTTTCAAGGACTTTTCATCCCCAAATTTATAAGATTAGGTGCTAGAGAACAGCTTAATTTGTTCGTTATTTTCTTGAAATTTATTCTAAAATATTTAGCTAATAGAGACAAATTATACGAAGACTGGTCAGTGATAGAAGAAGTTTTTCATTTTCTAAAAAAATTAGCTAGTACTTAATTTGGAAGAGAGTTAAATGGCTCACTCAGATATGAAACTGATGCAGTTAGCTTCTTCTCCAAAGGTTTAAGAGCTATAGTTGGTCATAAGTTTTATTCGCTTTGTTGTTTTCCATCCAATATTTGTTCATAAGGTTGTTTTTCATACGTTTAAACGGTTTTATTGATTTCCATCCTTGTAGAGACAAAAGTTATCCCATAAATCTGTTTTGTTCGGAGCAAGAATTTTGCCTCCATTTTACTGAAGGAAAATAAAATCTGCAAGCAAAACGGCCTTTACTTCTACTTATTTTATACTAGAAGGTGTATATTTTGTAAATCAGCATCGAATTCTGGGATTAAGATCTGTAAGTTAGCGTCGCATTCTGGACTCAAACTTTGAAATGGAGTTACATTCGGAACTTTCAGAGAGAACGTCATGTCATTTCTGTTTCCGTCTACAGTTTAATTTATCATGCAATGCACAGCACATTGAATCTTTTGAATTCGTTAATTTTTTATCGCTATCAATAGATTTTATTGCTGTTTCTGAAGTGTCAGGACTAATTTTTCTAAGAATTTTGCCCCACGTATAATAAAGAATAGTTTCTTTTAAGAATTTCAAGAATTATTGATATACATTTTAAAATTTAGTATTTAATATAGCTAATGCTTCTTAATTTTTCAAAAGCTACAACACTCGCATATTATTTACGACATGCAAACCAACACTCTGTTATTCCAAAATATTCGAAAAAATTTAGTTTTAAAGCAAACATTTACAAAGGAATGAAATCGCATATTTTTTTTTATGTTTCTTATGTGAAGGAAATAATAGGTGGCTTTTTTGTAAGGCTAGTCAAAAGCTGCGTCAAGATTCTGAACTTAAGAAAAAAAGAAAAAGAAATATTAGGGATGTAGGCATTTGAAAATATATACATTTTTTGAAACGTTTCCTTTTTATATAAGTAAGTAACTGTAAAGTAAGTATGATAGTGCTTCCTTACTTGGATAATCTTAAAACGTAGTAGGAATCCGATGCCAGAAATATCTATGTTTCTATTTTTAAGTAATGAGCTTATATGGTAAAATTTCAAAGTAAATATTTGCAGTCGAAAATATTTATTTAAAAGTGCTTTGCTCTTGGAAACGGACTTAAAATGTAAAATGATAATCCCCCCCCCCAGTTGGGTTCTATTCGACAGCAATTAACTCCATTGTATTTTCCTATTAAACTAAAACAGATATTTGAGGAACAGTGTAATTAAAAACTGGAATTAGTTTAACGCAGATTAAAATTTTTTATTTCTGGTAATAACTTTTTAGTGCGTTGCCTGGCGCGCTGATTTTATGAATTCTAAATTTATAAGGTATTTTCCCCTTCTTCCAGCATGCCTTTGTGGTGTAACGGTAGCACACTCGGCGCGTATTCAGGTTCGAGTGCCGGCGAAGGCATTGCTCAATTTTTCTTGTCTCCTACTTCGGAAAAAAAAGCCTAATGTCTCTACAATTTTAGATTACTAATATTTAAGTACAACGTTGATTTTTTCCAGAGGGCTTCTAATTCAGAACCTAAAATGCGTCGTTTTCAAAAGAACTATTTGTCCCATTTGAAATTGAAATACATTTATATTAGCTCAAAATTCCCATATGAAGCTCTTCTAATTCTCAGTATCTCTGATTAAGATCACTTTGAGGGAACAGAAACACAAGTTTATAAAGTTCTGATGATATTTTCATTTCTTTTACTAAATTATGAAAAGTTACTGACCGTTTTGTCAGCTTTGATAAAAATTTTTATAAAACGCTTTGTTAACATTGGATCGGTTTAAATTAATTTTCATGATAATAAACGTTTCTATTTTGTGTACAATAGTTAATTCTATAAAACGTTTGAGAACGCTTTATATATTTATAATTAATGTCTGTATTCCTGGCAGTTGCTGCTGAAAAGTCTCAAATGGAGCTCTTCTAATTGTTAATGTCTTTGATAAGTAACTGAAAACAAATTTCTAAATTATCGATGAATTTATCAACTCTTTTACTGACATCATGGAAGGTTATTGTTGGTTTATGATCTTTGAGTAAACATTTTAGTAAGACGCTTTGTTAATCTTCACATGGATCGATTTAATTAAATTCAATGATCTATCTGTCTCCAGTTTGTTTTGAACAACAGATATTTCAATAAAAGCATTTCAGAACTGAGTATATATGCATAATTAAAGTATGTATATCTTGAAGTAATTTAATTGACACTACTTCAGATTAATTAAATGAAGAAATCTGTTTTAAAATGCATCGCATTGATTCGAGCATTAAATAGTTTAAATTGGAATGTATTTTACTTTATGTAACAATAAATTCAGAATTTAAGAGACTGTTTGAAGCCTTACATCTAAAATAAGACAGCTGGTGCGTTTAGAAGTTATTCAGCCTATTTCCTCTTTAAATCTTTCAGTTCTGAGATATAACATAGTCGTCGAATTAGAATTCTTTTAGCTTATTTAGTCTGTAAATTTAGATACTGTTTTCCCTCTCTATTTCCATGCCTGTAGTCAAAGATGCATGATATTTTTATGACCATCAGGCTTTGTCAAAGATTAGAGAAATGCAGAATATTTTAATACATCCAAAGTTTTCTAATTGTAAGTTATTAAACAACTTTTCTCAAAGCTTTAAGCACACCCGAAGCATATTATTCCATAATATTCCCGCCCTAAAGCAAAAAAGCTGAAGAAAATGCTTATTTATTAATTTAAAAAATTTTAAGAAAGAAACTGTAAAAATCTTTTGAACACATGATTTTTAACACGTACCTTCGGTATAGTCCTGCGCTTTCGCTAATACAATGCAGACCAACAGAGCCCACAGAGAACCCCAATGGGCCCTCATCCTGTAAACAACCGATTCCTATGGCCTCATAAACTACGGTAAGATATCAACGTTGACTCCGAAAGATGACAATCCACAACACTGGTGATGCCTCGATCGGGACTGGTGAGATCTCGAGAAGCACATCCAAGGAAAAGAGGGACTTCTGAACTTATGTACGGGTATCCGAGTTCGCCCACGCTTTCAGTTTAGTGTGTAATCCGATCCAAGCCGCTGTGACCCCCAGTCGGGCAGTGGCCCGCCCGACACTATCGCTTCAAGATGGGAGTTTGTCATCACGTTTGCCTTTCCATCGTAGGCTTGCGTATGTATTCCAACTTTCCTAGGCTCTCACTCCATTCCAGGAGATGACTTCAGGGTCTTTCACACGGCACAGTAGCTGTCCAGATTTGCATTTCTGCTCTTTGTCGTCAACAAATGCAAAAAGAGAAGTAGGAAGCTCATTTCGAAAAAGTTCAAACTCCCTTCACTATTTGGAATTTTATAAAACTACGCCTAGTTCACAGCTTTCTACATGGAATGGGATGCCAATAGCCGAAATTTAGTTTGCTTTTGAGCAGTATAGCTCGAGAAGTAGGAGGTTTATTCAAGAATGACACAGAATTTTATTTTAATTTGAATGGTCTTAATTTTGATTGTTTATTGCAAAATAAAATTTTACGTGCTCACTGTTGCAAACATAATGGTGATCAATATTCGTTTCAAGTTCAGTTTGAGATAATTCAGATTTAAAATCACTTGGATTAAAATAATAGTTTAAAATTCGTTTTTGATATTCTGAATTCAAATTTATTTGAATTTTGAGTACAAGTGATGAAGGAAAATTTTGCTTTCCTTTCTTGCTTTCTTTGTTGCTGAATTTCTTGTTTATTAAAGAAATTTTTCTGTCTTACCCCATACATTTTACAGCACTTCGGAATTTAATGTAAATAATACACCTAACACATACTAATCTCAAATGACTCCTTATCCGTTTACATGGAATAACTGTTATTATAATCGCATAACAATAGACACAATAAAATTAAATTGTAATTAGTAAGGATATGCATGTTAAATAATGTTCCTTATTTATTCCGCAAAAATATTCGCTATGATTTTTTGCAGCAAAATGGATTTTATTTTCTTTGGTTGTCTACAGAAAATTCGTTTTTAAAATTGGACTATTCTTTTCAGGAACAGGGATGCCTTCGTAGAGGAAAACGGGCTCGTATACACGTTACACATGGGGAAACACACGAAAATGCCCATACAGCCACCTCATTCGCAGGATTCGAACCTCTGATTGAACTACCAGTGTTCAGCGATTTTACCGCTGGTGGACCTACAGCTTACTCGGAAAGATATAAAATTATAATTAATAAATGAAGGCAACTAAGAAATATATTTGAAAAGCAACATGCTGACGGAATAAAATATTCGTATGTCTTAGGATTAAACTGTTATGGAAAGTATGGTGTCGCACGAGAACCTACATCCCAAAAATTTCAGTTAGGCAGCACTGTTCTCTGTTGTAATATACGCCGAATTTATATAGCGTGGTCATTTTTGTATCCATGGCCCACCAGCGGCCGAGCGTTTACGTCGCTGAACACTGGTAGTTCAGTTCAGGGTTCGAATCCCGTGAACGGGCTGGCTGCGTTTTCGTGGTTTCCCTCACGTGTAACGTGTATACGAGCTAGTTTCCCTTAGAAAGTCCTTCACAAAGGCATCCCTCCTTTTAGGCAGATAGCTTTCGATTGCGTTGTCATAATCAAATAAACTAAACCAAACTATTCTCGTATCCAGTACTTTAGCTATATTAATAAACGAATGAAGACTGGAAGTAGATTTTTATTTCAACAAACTGCGTTTGGAAGTTAATTTCTGGACATTTGCTTTTTCTCATGATCTCTTGCAGGAAAGATTCCTTTGCAACGGTAACGAGCTGGTTGAGAAATGACCTTTGGGAGGGAAGAATTCTGGAAAACGTTTTATTTTTTTTGCTTTCGGAAATCTTTTTTGAATGTAGAAAACTGAGAATGAAGTTTAAAATTATCCTTTAAACGCAGAAAACTGTAAATCCAAGAAAAGTATTAAAACACAAGGTAGTTAAGTGTTATCGCAGTCACCTTAGTAGAAGTCGCCAGATTTGAGGTACGTCTCAAACTCTGGTTACTATGCCGTAACCATTCTTCAAGAAACTATGATCATAGCAATACTTCAAGCAACTTCGCCATTTTCGTATACGTTTTTCTTAGTCCAAAAGGGTTTTGTTCCTGAAGGACTATAGTTTTCGTTTTGCGATTTTGCGTTGAATCACTCTGAATGTCCGTTTCATTTTTCAAACTGTTGCCACCAAATACTTTCGCCTTGTATTTTACAATGTTGTGCAAAAATTAAGGACGAAGTCGAAAAATTAGCATATCAGCTGAACGAAGAGGCAGAGCGGACAGAAAGACCAATCAGGAGATTAAGTAAGGTGATGTACGGTAGCACATGCGCAGATAGGCAGGTAGACGTAATGGGAGAGTGTCTGAGTAGTATAAAGCATGTTGTCGGTGTAAGATCAGTATTTCTGGCAAAGAGATTGCACGCCGTATAGCAGTTAAAATGACACTGAGTTGCTGCCTCAGTGAGAAATGGCGAATAATCAATCTGTTAGACGACATCTGGATGCTTTTACCCGAGGTCGAATCATTGGGAAGTTGGAGGAAGGCCGCAGTGTGACAAGTGTGGCTGCAGAGTTCGGAATGCTCACAGTATCGTTTCACGACTTTGGAGACAATTTCAAACTACAGGAACAGCTATCCGGGGGTTTAGTAGTGGTCGTCCACGAGGAACCACACCCGCAGATGACCGGTATATTGCCTTACAGGCCAGAAGAAACAGGCGGCAGACAGCGGGAGAAATCGCTAGACACACGACACAGGCGACTGGACGACCGATATCGCGTTATACCGTGGCCAGAAGACTGCACGGTGGTGGTCTGTTTGCACGACGCCCTGTACGGTGTGTACCTCTAACGCCTGCTCATCGGAGAAGGCGTTCTCTGTGGTGCCGGGAACACCAGAATTGGAGAGACAATGAATCGGGACGAGTACTCTTTACAGATGAGAGCAGATTCAGTCTGAGTAGCGATTCTCATCGCATACTCATCTGGAGAGAGCGGGGAAGCCGCAATCATCCCTCGAACATCATTGAAAGGGACAGGTATGGAAGTGGCGGTGTTCTCGTTTGGGGAGGCATCACGCTTGGTAGTCGTACAGACCTTCACATCTTCGACGCAGGTTCAGTCAATGGGACCCGTTATTGTAACGAGATTCTTCTTCCATATGTGCGTCTTTTTAGAGGCCCTATGAGTCCGCAGTTCCTTTTCATGGACGACAATGCACCATGTCATCGCACAGTAGCTGCCGAACAGCTCTTAGAGAGTGAGGATATTGAACGTATGGATTGGCCGGCACGATCTCCGGATCAATCCCATCGAGCATGTATGGGATTTTCTAGGCAGACGCTTGGCAGCTCGTACCTTACCACCAGTAACGATTCCGGAGCTTCGATTGGCGCTTCAAGACGAATGGGCAGCAATGCCTCAACAACTCATTGACACCCTCATTCTCAGCATGGGCAGACGCTGTGAAACCTGCCTAACAGTCAGGGGAGATCATATCCCCTATTAAAGACCGGATGTTTCTTGCTGGACACCCATCACAGGGATGTTTCGGCCTTCAGTCGCATTGCGCTCCATGCTACGTTTTCAATAAAGCTTCTTTTTATCCCTCTGATTTCTCTTTTAGTAAGTGTTGCTTACATTTCTCATGTCCTTACGTATTGGGGATCTTATGGTATTAAATGTGTTGATTTGGAAAGCTTTTGTACAAAGTTATATTGAAAAAACCGTCTCGTCCTTAATTTTTTGCACACCAGTGTATTTGAAGAAATTAAATAATGAAGAATCTGTATAAATTCATGTCTGTATTTTGCATTGTGATATAACAACGGTACCTAGAGCCATCAAATTTTGAATGACGTAATCCTGCTGCAAATATGGGCACCTGGAAGACCAAATTTGAAATTTGGAATTTGGTTTATTATCGGTTTCATATTTTGTAAAACTTTAACGAATTTTTGATTAACAAACTCAACGATTTAAAAGCGAGCAATGGCAACACTCTACGGGAGGGGAAAAAAACCTTTTTATCTCCAGCGCACGGAACTGTTTATGGGATGCGCGGAACTGTGTATGGGATTCGCGGAACTGTGTATGGGATACGCGGAACTGTGTATGGGATGTATGGATATGCTCATTTTAAAATTATTTTGCGACATTGCTGTTGAACTGAATTTTATGGTTTAGAGCATGATAATAAATAAATAAAGGTAACACACAAAACGTTAAAAAAACGCCTATTTGGACGTAATTTAAAATCTGAAACCTTTCAAATTTTTTTTGTTTTTGTCTTTGTTTTTTGCTGTTGTATTCCAAGTTACAATTTTATCTGTAAACCAGTCGTGATATATTTTGCCTTAAATTTAATTTTAAAATGTGCACTTGTGGAATTTGCCTGCAGCGGAAGAAACTGCAGTAAAATTTCTGTAGAAATAGAATATTTTGCTAACAAGAACAATGACCGCTACGCTAAAAAAATCGCCAACGAGAACAATGATGAGGTGCGTTGGTAGATAGCCAGTGCTTGACGCCGAGTCTTCGCAATTCTCTGATGTTCTTTAAGCGAAAACCGATCGCTGTGTACTTGGAGAGAAGAATAGCACAAAAGAGGTGCAGAAAGATTTTTGCAAAGAACGTAAAGGTTTAATTTTTAATGGATCACATAATCCTTATATAATGATTTAAATTATTTAGTTATTAAAATTTGTGTTTGAAATGGCTTTTTTTTTCATATGTTCATAATATCTCCCAAATTACAAAAGTTTTCGAATATTAAAAAAAAAAGACGAATACCACCAACTAACACCCAATAAGTAACTTTTATCGTACATCAGCGACCGAGCGTTTACGTCGTTGAACACTGGTAGTTCAGTTCAGGGTTCGAATCCTGACGAACGGGCTGACTGCATGAGCATTTTCGTGGTTTTCCCCACGTATAACGTGCATACGAGTCCGTTCCCCTTAGAAAGTCCTTTACGAAGGCATCCCTCC